AAGTGAGCTTCAGGGATGACCATGGCCTCCCAGCCCCCAGGGTCTTCCCTCTGCTGCCCATTGTGTGCTGCTGCCTTTAGTCAACCTCAAGTGCAGCGTGGATCATCTCACTCCCCAGATGCCCAAAGAAACTCAATAGCTCCTCACTGCCTACAGAGTGAAAGGCACACTCTCAAGAATCCTCCAAATGTTCCCACTCTTGGCCTCCCCTCCCCTCCTGGTTCCTCCCAGCTCCTGAATCATATCCTGGGGTTCTATGGCTGCTGGTGTTTGTTTGTTTTAATCCATGCTCTTTCCTCCCACTAGAAAGTCTTCTCTCTACATAAAATCCTATTCATCTTTCACAGCCAGTTTCGAGTGGCACCTACCCAATGAAACTTTTCCTGAACTTTCCCCATCCCTGGGTCCTCTTGTTGCTCTGAGACCCTTTGGTGCCATTTTTCTCTTCCTTACCACACTGAGCTTCTCCCTTGTACCACAGCATCGTCCTCCTCTCCTACTAGGTCTGAGCATCTGAGTGTAGGCTTCTCTCTTACTGATATTCTCCCAAACTGCCCAAATGGTGCCTGGCCCATGGTCCCAACCTGCTGTGGAATGGGCACTCTCCACACTCACCGCACTAAGGGTGTGCAAGAGCTCATGTGTGTGAGTCGTGCCTCCCACACTCACTTCAATGCTCAGCCATTTCCAGAAGTGCAGCTGGCGGACCATCCGCTGTCACACAGTCAGCAGACTGGACACTGGGGTGGGTGCCTTCTGCTAATCTTATTCCATTTAAGGGTGGCAGTCAGAGCCCAAACAAAGAAAAATTTTCCCAGGCATGAGTACTGCAGAAATGAAGAGAGGCAGTTCCTGGCAGCCACCCCAAGGGAACACCAAATTTAGCCCAAAGGTTGAATATAAATATACTCTAAATTTTTTATTTACAAAAATAACATGATAACATTAAAATAGTTTAGAAAATAAGGAGAATTAAGCACCTCCACAGATCCACCATACTGGCACAACCGCTTTCATTTTTGTTCATTCCTTTCAGGTCTTTGTTCTTATAAATGCCTGTTTTACACATTGTGATCATGGTGCACGTACAATTTCGTATCTTGCCTTTCTACTTAAGAATATATGATAAGCACTTAAGAGAAGAAAACTGTAGACAGAGAGATGGGTGTTTGAATCTCAGTTCTACAACCTACTAGCTGTGCAGGTTACTGAGTCTTTCTGTTTCTTTATCTGTAGAGTGGAGTCAAACAATCTCATAGAATTATTGTAAGGATGAAATGATAATTCATAAAATCTCATAGCACAGGGCCTAGAAAACAGTTAGCACTTAACAACTGCAAACTTGTTTCATGATTATTACTAAAATAAGTGGGGTTTTTTAAATTGACTTTTCCCCAGCCAATGACACTCTACACAGGTTTTCACACTGGTTTCCAAATACGCAATTGTGCTCCAAACATTTGTAAGCTTAAACTCCCCAAAGTTATATTTCAACCTATTTAAAGAAAAGTCCCAGGGAGGCAGAAAACAACTTTCCACCCTGCCCTGAATGCCCGCTGTTGTTTGAACAGTAGCTGCTGCCTGAGGGGATTTAGCGTTGGCCAGGCTGCGAAGCCCAGGGCAATGAGCTCTCCTCGTTCATGGGGTGGGTTCATGCATGGCTCTCAGTTTCTCTCTGAGGAATCCCTTGTTAGCAAGTAAATGTGTCCCTTCCCATAAGGGCTTTGAATCAGGGTAATGGCGAAGTAAGCCAGGTTGAAGGAACAGAGGGGACTTAAGCCTTGTTTCCAAGCCATGACCTCCCCAGGGCTGTGCTGGCCTTACGTGTAGGGGAAGGAGGTAGGTGCCAACTTGGGGTAATTTCAGAGCGGTATTGGTTCCATGCTAAAAATCATCTCCCCACCCACCACCATGCTTGATGAGGTGCCTGGAAATCTCACTATTGGTCATTCCTTTGGTTTAAGGCTTTGAAGGCATCTATTAAATCATATATATTACTGGCAATAACTTTATTCATCAGCACCTCCCTATAATTCTGATAATGGGCACCCACCTTGTACTCTGTCTAAGACTTTGTCCTGGTGCCCTCCCTAGTAACTCAGCCCCTAGGATGAGATCTGCTTTGCCCATATAAACTCCCTCCTGAGTTGGAGGTCTAGCTCCAAATCCAGATCAGTGGTAACCCTGCTGCCAGCGGAGCAATGTCCCTGATGGTGTCTGCCTGCCTGGTGTCCTGCACAACTTCTGTAGCCTGGCTTCCCTGTTGACGTGCTTCTCCTTCCTCACTCCCCTCCGTCTGGGCTCTTGATGTCTCACTGTTTTGACTCTTCCGGTGCCAAGGCTCCTCTGGACCACACCCTGCTGGCTCTTTCCCAGCCCCATTCTTCTGCCTACCAGCCTGGACTCCAGGGAACAGGCCTAGTTTAGAAGCCCCAAGCCTGTTACAAGAATTGATATTGGTGGAAATAATAGTTACAACATCAAATAGGGCCTTTTAGAATGTTAACATATGATATCTAGTTGTTTTAATTAAAACCTTTTATATGCTTCCTTCAACTTCTCTGTCCCTTAAGGCCTTTGCTGCAACAGTTGGTGCCAAATAATCTTGTTTTAGGTGCTACCTGGGTGCTGCTTGAATTCTGTGCCTTTCCAGAATTTTGGACAGACTGAGGTCAAGGACAGCTGTACTCTGGGGTTTCCTCTGGAAGGAATCTGGGTTTTCCTACCTGCATTCTTCTCCTGCTCATCAGTGGCTGGCTTCTTCTCAGCTGTCAGACCTCATCCTCAATGTCGCCTCCTCAGAAAGGACTTTCCACCCACCCTATCTGCAGAAGGTCCCACCCCCAACTTTGTCAGCTCTCTATCTGTTTCCTTCTTGACACTTATCACAATTGTAATTATTTTTTTTTGTTTACTTGTGTTAGGGTGTCTTCCCCACCAGACTGTAAGCTCTGAAAGGTGGGAACCATATCTGTTTTATAAAATTGTATTCCTAATGCCTAACATAGTGCCTAGCTCAAAGTAGGTGCTCAACACTTAATTGTTGAATGAAAGTTTTTCTCTTTTCCAGTTGAAATGACAATAAAAAACTATAGACCATATCCATCTCTGATGACCATCAAATGACCAACAAGGGTAAAAACCACTGATCCTATTCTATTTACATATCCATCATTTGTAAATTCTTCTAATTCTCCAGGGCCAGTACATGGATGGACTGCAGGGCTTCTAGGATCTACTGAGGTTTGGGAAGTGGGCAGCATATCTTTGGCAGCCCCTTCCAGTCTCACTGTTTTCTTCATCTCCACATCCATGAAAGCAATCCTTTAAGGCACCTGTAAGGCACCTAGTGCCTTTGTTCTTTTGTTTTTCTCTCTGCTATCAAGATTTGCTATTAGGAAGAAATGTAAAACTCATGCATACTACGATTCTTCAGAGCAGTGTTATTAGCATTTAGCCACTTAAACACTTTAGCCATAGGCATGAAACACTAGTGGTAGAAATTCTGCTCTTATCTGGCATTGGAGGAAGGAAATTAAGGAAAGGGGCCTGCAGGGGCCTACAACCCGGAGTGTGTTCACTATATTACTACTCAGTTTACCTTCTTCAGTGGTAAGCCTTTGGAGGGGAAAGGAAGAGAAAATGAGAGTAGATACATGAGGTTGAAACCTTACTCACTATAATGTAAGTCCCTTGGCTTTTGCAGTCTGGGTATAATATAAACCGTTAAATGTTAATAGCTAAGTTTATAAAACCATGAGATGCATTGCTTTTTTTCTAGGGGAAAAAATGGATCCCAGATGCTTTTTCCAGTTCAACTACTCAGGATCCTCTGGGCTGAGCACCTTGCCTTTGGACAGATGCCAGGTGTAACCCAGAATCTCAACATCGGTGTCATGAGATGTGTTCTATGATCTCTTCGCAAGCTCTCTTTAAAGGGCTTTTCCCTGATAAACAAGGCTGGTTTGTAGTCAAGAGAATACTTCTCTTTGTATTTCCCAGCCTTTGTTTCTTTCTCTAGGAAACGGCACTCATTTGTTGGTAAAGGGCTAGGTGGTCCCTTGACCCTTTGTTCGGAGCAAGAGTCATTTCTCCTCCTCCAAAGAGATATGATCCCAATCAGAGAGGCCAGTGAGAAGCTGCCCACTGTCAGGGAAACTTCCAAGACCTCAGTTTCAAGGTCTATATAATGGGGATACCAAGACCTAGTTCACAGAGTCATGTTTGAGGTCTTCACTTCTCTAAAAACTCAGCCAGTCTTTAAGGCCCAGGTCAGTCTCTCCTCTTCTACATAGATTTTTCATATGTATCACTTCCTGGAGCCTTATGGTTCTTAGAATTGATAATAAATGAATTCCCATATAATTTTATTCTAATTGTTTCCTCTGTGTGAGTTAATTTGATCACCTTAGGTAGATTGTGTGTTGGAATCATCTCTCAACAACCCAGGTTTTCAAACACTATGCATTCACCATAATAACAAAAATAATAAAGATAATACCAACAAATACATTTAATGACAGACATTATTTCCTTGGCAGTCTGCTGAACTCTTTATAAACAATCTCTCATTTAACAACCCTATGAGGTAGATAGTACTATGTCCAATTTATAGATGAGGAAACCAAGGCTCAGACACTAAGCAGCTTGCTGGAGTCCAGCTATAAACCAGCAGCTGGGATTTTAACCCTTGCATGTCTGACTAAAAGCTCTTTGCATTACTGACTGACCGATGGGGAGGGGGAGGTCTGAGTGTTCCCCTCCCCCATCAAGTCTGCCATCCTTCTTTTATAGTCACAGCATGAAAGGGACACAAAGGAGAGACCGATGTAGGGCCAAATTTTATTAAGACAAACTACACATATTACAGCTTTTTCTTTCCTGAAAGCCCCATCATCAAGGACTGATCTCATAAAATTTCTAATCCAAGAACACTCATTTCACAAAACAAACACATTTCAGAGATGGAAGGAGAAGGAGTCTTATTTTTTTTTGAGAGAAAGAGAGAGTCTTAATGCCAGTGCCAGACAATATAGTAAGGTGTTCCCTCCAGGAACCTGGGATGACCAGTCATTCTTCTCTAACTGGCATCCTAGTGAGTTGCCTCCACCTCTCTACCTTCATCCTTCCCTCCATCCACCAATAACATCCAGATATCAGCAGAGGGGCCTGGAGATGGGCAGGTGGGCCAGAGGCTGTGCCTCCTTCCGAGCCTTCACCCTCCTCCTACCTTTCATGCCTATCTGTTTAGGCTGATGATACTGAAAACAGTGAGGCTCAGGCCCTCTGCCAGGCATCTGGAGGGGAGGGCAGGAAGATAAAAGTTTCTCTAAGGTTTCCTTTCCTTATTTTAGGACTCCCCTCCCCTTCACCCACTCTATCTCAGCATGTGTACACACACATACATGCATTTTAAAAAGTAACCATCTCCCTATAAGTCTCGGTATTCAATTTTGAGCATCCTTTACCTTCATCTAAAATAGCAACCACCCATTACAGATGGACTGAATAGAGAAACCAGGCCTGTCGCTGGGGAAGGCAGGGCTTTCCTGAAATCCTCATGTGTCAATCTCATTAGGAGCACCAGGGAGACATAGGAATCTCTGTGCTCTTAAACAACAGCCCTGCCAAGGGAGCTGGAGATTCCCCTACTGCCTGTATGCCCTTGCTAAATCCTCCAGGGAGACAGAGATCTGGGGGCCTCCATAGCTGTCATCACACCTCATCTTGGCACTCTAAGTTGGCAGTCAGCAAGGGAAATAAATAGGAGGGAAAAATAGCTTTCCAGTATTTTCTCTCCTTTTTAATTTTCTTCTTCACAGCAGAATTATTTTTTCCCAAGGGGAATCTTAGAAGCACAATGCCCTCTTTGTTTTAATAAGACCTGGGGAAATTCCACTGGCCTCCATGGCCTGTGATCTGGTCAGGATCTGAGAGAGGATGATGGCTCCTTGGGCATTCTGGTTGATACAGTCTTTGGGAGGGCACTGGGTGAATAGCCAAGGGAGAAACAGAAGGGATGGTTTCTATCATTGGGTTGAACTGTAAAAGAGCCGCAGGATGACAGGTGGTGGCAGGAATTCCAGTGGAGTCTGTGTGCACAGTGACTCCCTAGGGCAGCTTGCATCCTTCTAGGCTGGTTGTACACCCTGGCAGAAGGAAAATCTGCAACATCACCAAGGTGGGACATTTGCCAGAGGTACAGATCAAGGCACTTGTGAAGTTGAGGTTGCTGGTCAAGTTCCAATGACCTCTTTTTAAGTAAGACTGGGTAGAGGGACAGGTAGCCAAGGACAGCCCAAGGCAACCTCACCACAACTCTAAAGTATGGCCCAAGAAGACAACAGATTCAAGAGCACATCTAATGCAAGTTCCTTGATACATTCTCTTTATTGGCCAGGAACTTTGGGCTCTTCCTTGCAGGTGGAAGGGAGATCGGGTCAAGAAAGCCATAGGGACTTGGAGAACCAATTTGGTATATGGCTAGTATGTAGAGAGTCATCCTGTCCCTCTGGCTATCCATCCCAAGCCAGATTTGCCATGGTTCCCTTCCCTTCCTCTCCCCTGTTCAATGAGTAAACTGAAAGGCTTTACAGAGTATACTGGGTAGAGGAATGGGAAGGGACAGCAGCCTGGGTGGGTAGCCATGTGTTTGACTGCACTCGCAGAGCCCTGGTCATATCTTCTGGAATAAATGAGCAATGTTATTGAGACCCAGGGCCCAAAAGGAGCAAAGCAGTGATGAGAATGAGAAAGATGGCGTCAGAAGGGACATATCTTCCCTTTCTGAGCCTCCTTTGTTCCCACCTGGTCCTAGCTCCCCCACACTGGAGGGTCACACCGATAGGTCATCTGACCTGGCCTTGCTGCTGGCCTTGCTGAGACAACGCTTGTCGCTCTGGTAACCACGGGGGAGGCGATGACCTGGGGAGACTTCATTGAGTTCCTCAGGCTTCTGGGCATAACGAATATGAATGAAACCCTCCCCAGGAATCTGCTCCTGGTCTTGCACTTGCTCTGTGGCCAGGTTGTCTGTGTTCTGCTGGGAGGCCATCTTGTTACTGAAGGGATTGAAAAATTTCCCCCCAGGGCCATTCTCCACACACTGATAGAAGTCAGGAGGTGGTGTGCAGCTCTGGACTATTCCAGCAGAAGGGCCAGGAAGCTGGCACTCAGCCATGCCCTGCTGTGACTTGGCAAATCGCTGTCTGATCTTCTTCCAGCCCAGGTGGTAGAGTTCAGCCAGGCTGAGGAAGAGGGACAGTCCTGCCACAGCCAGCATAAAGACAATGAAGACATTCTTCTCTGTGGGCCGGGATACATAACAGTTGACAGGGTGGGGGCAAGGACTCCTGCGGCAGACATGCAGGGTGTTCAGGAAGATCCCATAGAGGAGGTACTGGCCCACAATGAAGGCCACCTCCATGGTGGTGCGGATCAGGATGCTGCAGACATAGGTGTTGAGCAGCGTGCCCTGGAGGACAATCTTTCCATTCTCTTCCTCCCAGCAGGACAGCTCTGCCTTTTCGGCCACTGGGTATTCATAAGAGCCAGCGCCCCGGACGTCTTTGGCCCTCTCCGCCTCCCGTAGCTTCCGCTTCTTCTGCATGCGCACCGTGTGCATGGCGTGGAGCGTGTACAACAAAGACGGCGTGGAGACGAAGATGATCTGCAGCACCCAATAGCGGATGTGCGCGACGGGGAAGGCTTGGTCGTAGCAGACGTTCTCGCAGCCGGGCTGAATCGTATCACACTGAAAATCCTCCTGCTCATCCCCCCAGGATGACTCAGCAGCCGCGCCCAGCACCAGAATGCGGAATATGAAGAGGACTGTGAGCCAGACCTTGCCGATCACCGTGGAATGTTTGTGTACTTCTTCCAGGAACTCTCCCAGGACGCTCCAGTCACCCATCTTGGCTCAGCAGAGGACAGACGCCAAGACTTCTGCAGATGGGGGAGAGAGAAAGAGAAAAAGAGAGGGATGCTTTTGCACAAGTCTAGAAGGTCCAATCATGCTCTGAGATTCCGCTGATACCAATGTGTTCTTTAGGAAGTGCAACTTAGAAGCCAAATTCACCTAAAGAGCCCTCTTTTTGTCCCCCAGCAAAAATAAAAAGAAAGAAGATTCAAAGTGGCCATGTTAGCAAGGTTCGAGTATGGTTCCCACACTTTAATGGACCCAGAAATCAGCTGAGCTGTGTTTTACAATGTGGATTCTATGCTCTTACCCCCAGAGATTCTACCTTGGGAGGTCTGGGGTGACCCGCCCGGAATCTGGATTTGCAGCAAGCAGCCCAGGTGATTCTAATGCAGGCAGTCCAAGGACAACACGTGGAGAAACACGAGTGGTAGAAAGAACACAGGACTCGAGTCTGCGAATGTGACTCTGGGCATCTACCTCACTGACTGTTTCCTCATCCGTAAAACGAGGACGGCAATAGCCACACCAGAGGATTTTTGAGCATTAAATGAAATGAGGTATGTGATATGCTGAAAATACGACAAATGTTCCCTATGTTTGAATGGCTGTCAGGTGGAAAAAGACTTTTTTATGGCTCCAGGGGGCAGCACTAGGTGGAGGAGAAAAGAGTGAGGTGGGAGTGGCAAATCTGGTCCCTCAGGAAGCGTTCTGTAACAGTCAGAACCATCCAGCTTGGACCAGCTATATTGGGAGGTGATGAACAAGAACGTGTTTGGTTACAGCAGCTAAAGGTATTGTGAATGAGGGCTCAGGTTCCCCCAGCTGGTGAGCAGCTGGCAATGCCAGTCTCCTCCACCTCAGTACAGTACAGCCGTTTCAGCTGTACGGCTCGGCTTGTCCTTCTGCATACAGAAGGTGCCCACACACAGCCCTGCTCACCTTCATATCCAGAATGAATGCCCCAAACCTTTATATCCCATACAAAACCTTGCCTCATCAGGCCCTTGCCTGCTTCTTCAGCCTCATTTCCTGCCTGTCCCCATTAGTTCCCTTTGTCCAGCTGAGATGTCTGAAGCTGCCCAGAGAATCTCAGAAATGCCAGCCAGTGCCCTGAGACCTCTGAATCAACTCTTTAATCGCCTACCTCCAGAATTCTTACTTGATGAGCAATAAGTATCCTTATGGCTTAAGCCTCTAACCAATTCTAGTCAACAGAATGACCAAAAAAAAAAAAACAAAAAGGAGGGAATTGAACATAAATATACCCTTCTTAGAGTCATAAAACCTCAGATTCTGATGGGACCTTAGAGGTTGTCAAGTAAAGATGTGACCTTCACATCTTTACTGCCAATGCACCCCTGCTTCCTATCTGAACATTCTTTATGCATGTGAGGAAGAACAGGGCAGAGGTGCCACATTTCATAGTCCAGGTTTCCTTGGATCCTGAGTTGATACCTTGACAGAGACCAGCCTCCTGGCCCTGTCTTCTCCCAGGCCCCCATTCCCCACCCTGAGAGTATGCAGAGTTCTGGGGAATGAGAGAGTCCATGAGTGAGCGTGAAGGGCCTTATCTCCGTTCCCCTTCATATCAAAGACCCACCCACGTCTTGAGACCTTTCCTCTGGTTTATCAGACATCTGCCCTTTTCCTCAGGTGGTGAAGGGCCCTCTCCCATAGCCTCCAAATGTGGAAAATTGTGGAGCGTTTGCTCAAAAGGAAAATGGCTGATTAGATAAAAGTTTGAATGGTCTGTCATCTCTTCTGGGCACGTGCACAGTGTTCACCACCTTCAGAGTCAGCCACACGCATGCAGGGACCAGGAAGTGGTGAGTGTCTGAGAGAAGGGAGGGAGGGAAAGGGAGCAAAAAGTGGGAAAAGACAAGAGGGAGTTGGAAATGGAGAAAAAGAGATCATGTAACAGTTAAGAGAAGATGGTTTGGGGGTTAACTGAGTGGAGTTCAAATGCCTGTTCATACTGCTGAGCTTGGAGAAGTTATAGATCCGTGTCTCAATTTCCTCATCTGCAGAATGGGAATACTATTATGCCATTCGTAGAATGTAATGAGGTGGTGTATAAAAAGCACTTAGCGCAGTGCTCCATATATAAGAACTAAGAATAAGAAGCAGCCATTACTAGCAAGGAAAGTGGTGGGGAAGGACAAGAATAGAGGGAGAGAGAAAGACAAAATAGGAAGTAGAGAGAGGTGCATTACAAAGGAGAAGAGAGAAATACATAGAGGAGCAGGAGAGAAAGTGAGAGGGAAACAGAAATGGAAATAAAAAGAAAGAGAGAAACAAATGTCATATTCTTCCAGGATTTAGGGCAACTTTTCCAAACTCTCCTCAATCCCTGAAGACTTTTCCCTTGACTCTCAGACTTTGTCACTCATTCCTTGCAAGTCCCCAAGGATGTATAAAAATAGTTCCAGGCAAAGAATGTGATGCTTTGGTCTGGTCTGCCAAGAGGCTTGACTGCTGCCTCCCTCACTTGTGGTCCAAGGAATCCTACCTGAAAGAAGTAAAGCTCAGGTACAGGAAAGGAACATCGTGGAATATCAGAAAGACAGTATTGGAAAGGATGCCTCCTCAGGAGGGAACAAGAGAAATTAGCTGAGGAGGGGCAGGGGTGGGGCAGACCCCAGGGGCCCTAGTGACAGCAAATAGGGTGAAGGTCCTCTCCTTGTGACTTCCTGGATGACTCAGGCAAGGTCAGAGAAACTTAAAATTGCTACCATGTACTAGCTACTCGGGTTAAAATATGAAAGGTCCCTGGCTGAAGTCAGTTTCCTGGCTACACTAGGTCCCTGTAGGCCCCCGACAACCTCAGCCAAAGAAACTTGTAGATTAGATATTCATTAAGTTTACTGGGTGTAGAGCATATAAAATTCTTTGTAGATTATTATCCACTTTTTAGCAGGAAGTTGTGTTAGGAGGGGCAAAGGAAGCTGCCCACACCATGAATAAATTCTATCAAATACAATGGTAATAGACCTCACTGCTTTAGCTGTGAACTTCACTGGCTTCCTGCCACTCATAAAGTCCAAACTCTTTAACTTGAACTTGAGACCCTCCACAACACAGCCTCATCTTATCTTTTTCCGCTGTTCCCCTCACATATTCAATACTTAAGCTACACAACTCCCCTTACACGTATACACGGCCCACAATTTCTCACCTCTTCATCTTGGCTTCTCATGCTTCCTCTGCCTACAATGTCCTTCTTCCCTTTCATTCATTTTTCAATAAGTTTATTGAGTGGTTTCCAAGTGCCAGGCATCTTGTGAGGCCCTGAAGATACGACAGTTAAAAAGACAAACCAGGAGTCCCTGCCTTTATTGAGCTTAACTGCCTTTATTTCCCTTAATTAAGGGGTGAGATCAAACACAAAGTTGTAATAAAGCATGATATGTTTTAGCATTAAGGAAGTACAGGGCACTATGGGAACATATGGCAGCAGGTTGACTCTGGTTTAAAGGGTTAGGTAGGGCCTCATTAGATCACTGCCCTCCAAAGAGCCCTGGATAATTGAATTCTTCAGCTCTTTGCAACTGAGACAAGTTCTGAAATCCCCAAGGCAAAAGAGAGGGTCCCTTAGAACCTGGACAAGATTATCCCAACTCTGAAGATTCTTCAATCCAAAACCTTCAACATCCTCTTCCAGTGTGTCGTACCCTGGGACAAAGCAAAAATTTTGGAAGAGTCACCAGGGAACTTGTTTGCTAATAATAACATGGCACTTGGATAAGAGGGAAAGGAAGGAAGACTTTTGTGTATAGTGAGCATGAATCATGTAATTCCTTTACTTCGTGTATTATGTGGTTAGAAATAAAATTCAGTATTTATGTTCCCGACCCAGTACTTCTCCTTATGTTGGCATTGTTGCCTCCCTACACAGTTTTCAAAGACAACCAGTTTAGAACAACCCAGATGGACATAAACTCATAGCCAGGACCTCTTCCTCTGAGCCCATAGCTCTAGGTAGAAATGGAGAAGTCTTTTTAAATTGATCTCAGCCCTTTTTAACATGTCCTGAACTCTGAAGACTCTAAATTACCCTCCAGCATATAGGACACATTCCCACACTTGGTTATATGCTACCTCACCCTTGTTCTCCAAAAGCTTCTTGTCTATAAGCCAAACCACAAGTACTTTTTTGAGTTCCTACTATGTGCCTACCACTGTTCTGGGTACTGAAAATAATACCTAAGCAGTCCCAGGCCTGGCACATGTTAGGCACTCAGTGGTATCTGGTGAATTAATAAAATCAGGCATGATTCCTGTCCTCAAGGATTTAACAGCTTTTTCCCTCAAGTGAGTAGTAGACTTCTCAAAGTCAAAAGCTTTGTCGTCTACTTTGTATACTTATTGCATTAGGTTCTCTCATTAGGTGCATAATAAATGCTTTCTTAATGATTGAAAAAAATGTTTGGTCTAGCAGTAAGATTGCAAAGTGATCCTATGGAGGCTCAAATCTTCCTTCGTAAGTCCAGCGATAAAAAAATAAAATCTTACACAGTTCAAAATGCTTCCCCTACATTCTCTTGTTGACTCCAAGAGTGTGGGACCATATTTGTTTTGTTCAAGATTGAATACCTTCAGGACATATAGACACTCAATTTTTATTGTTGAATGGATTAATCGTCATAACCACTTTGTGGAATGATGGTTATTGCCTTTGTTTTGCAGAGGAGGAAACATATAGAAAAGATAAGAGATTTATTCAAAGAAACAGGTCCAGGGCTTCACTCCAGAGTTTCTGATCAAGTCTGGTGCACAGCAGAAAGTTTCCCTCCATCTCCTCTCCAAGAGTGGAGCCCAGCAATTCTTATGTCTCCCCCTTTGGATCTTCAAAAGCTCCTGCTCACCCTGGGGCAGTGAGTGATTTGAGACACAACACTGCCATTTAGTGATAAGGTCCAGGGGTCAGCTTTTATGCAATCAAGCAGATACTTCTGACACTCCCTTGATGTGACCAGCACTGGGTGGAGTGCTGAGGGGATTATGGAAAAGTGTAAATCAGTTCAGTTTCACAAACATGTATAGGCATGCCTCATTTTATTGCACTTCGCAGATACTGTGTTTTTTACAAATTGAAGGTTTGTAACAACCCTGCATTCAGCAAGTCTGTCAACACCCTTTTTCCAACAGTGTTTGCTCACTTCGTGTCTCTGTGACACATTTTGGTAATTCTCACAATATTTCTAACTTTTTCGTCATTATTATATTTGTTGTGGTGATCTGTGATAAGTGATCTTTGAAGTTACTATTGTAATTGTTTTGGGGAGCTACAAGCCATGCCCATTTAAAATGGCAAACTTAATTGATAAATTAAGTTCTGACTGCTCCACTGACGAGCTGTTCCCCCATCTCTCTCCCTCTCCCCAGTCCTCCCTATTCCCTGAGACACAACAATATTGCAGTTAGGCCAATTAATAACCCTACGATGGCCTTTAAGTGTTCAAATGAAAGAAAGAGTCACACGTCTCTCACTTTAAATCAAAAGCTAGAAATGATTAAGCTCAGTGAGGAAGGCGTGTCGTAAGCTGAGACAGGCCAAAAGCCAGGCCTCTTGCGCCAAACAGTTAGCCAACCTGTGAATGCAAAGGAAAAGTTCTTGAAGGAAATTAATAGTGCTACTCCAGTGAACACACGAATGATAAGAAAGTGAAACAGCCTTATTGCTGATATGGAGAAAGTTTTAGTGGTCTGGATAGAAGATGAAACCAGCCACAACATTCCCTTAAGCCAAAGCCTAATCCAGAGTAAGGCCTTAACTCTCTTCAATTCTACAAAGGCTGAGAGAGGTGAGGAATCTGCAGAAGAAGTTTGAAGCTAGCAGAGATTGGTTCATGAGGTTTAAGGAAAGAAGCCATCTCCATAACATAAAAGTACAGGGTGAAGCAGCAAGTGCTGATGCAGAAGCTGCAGCAAGGTATCCAGAAGATTGAGCTAAGATAAATAATGAAGGCGGCTACACTAAACAACAGATTTTCGATGTAGACAAAACAGCCTTATATTGGAAGTAGATGACTTCTAGGACTTTCATAGCTAGAAAGGAGAAGACAATGCCTGGCTTCAAGGCTTCAAAGGACAGGCTAACTCTGTTATTAGGGGCTAATGCAGCTGGTAACCAAGTTGAAGCCAGTGCTCACTTACCATTCTGAAAATCCTAAAGCCCTTAAGAATTATGCTAAATCTACTCTACCTGTGCTCTATAAATGGAACAACAAAGCCTAGATGACAGCACGTCTTCTTACAAAATTGTTTACTAAATATTTTAAGCCCATTGTTGAGATCTACTGCTCAGAAAAAGGTTCTTTTCAAAATACTACTGCTCACTGACAATGCATCTGGTCACCCAAGAGCTCTGGTGGAGATGTACAATGAGATTAATGTTGTTTTAAGCCTGCTAACACAATATCCATTCTGCAGCCCATGGATCAAGGAGTAATTTTGACTTTCAAGTCTTATTATTTAAGAAATACATTTTGTAAGGCTCTAGCTGCCATAGATAGTGATTCCTCTGATGGATCTGGGCAAAGTAAATTGAAAACCTTCTGGAAAGGATTCACCATTCTAGATGCCATTAAGAACATTCATGATTCATGGGAAGAGGTCAAAATATCAATATTAACAGGAGTTTGGAAGAAGTTGATTCCAACCTTCATGGACGACTTTGAGGCGTTCAAGACTTCAGTGGAGGAAATAGTAAGAGAACTTGAATTTAGAAGTGGAACCTGAAGATGTGACTGAATTGCTGTAATCTCATGATAAAACTTCAACAGATGAGGAATTGTTTTTTATGGATGAGCAAAGAAAGTGGTTTATTGAGATGGAATCTACATCTGGTGAAGATACTGTGAAGATTGTTGAAATGACAACAAAAGATTTAGAATATTACGTAAACCTAGTTGACAAAGCACCGGCAGGGTTTGAGAGGACTGACTCCAATTTTGAAAGAAGTTCTGCTGTGAGTAAAATGTTATCAAACAGTATTTCATGCCACAGAGAAATTGCTCGTGAAAAGAAGAGTTGATCGGTGTGGCAAACTTCGTTGTTGTCTTATTATATTATCCTTGAAGAAATTACCACAGCCACCCCAACCTTTAGCAACCACCACCCTGATCAGTCAGCAGCCATCAACATCAAGGCAGGACCTTCCAACAGCACAAAGATTACAACTCACTGAAGGCTCAGATGATGGTTAGCATTTTTTAGCAATAAAGTATTTTTTAATTAAAGTATGTACTGTTTTTTAGACATAATGCTATTGCAGACTTAATATGTCACAGTATAGTGTAAACATAAATTTTATATGCACTGGGAAACAAAATTTATGTGACTCACTTTATTGTGATATTTGCTTTCTTGTGGTGGTCTGGAACCAAACCCACAATATCTCTGAGGTATGCCTGTACTGAGTGTCTTCTTATGTGCTAGAAGTTAGGGACCTAAAAATCAATAAGCCTCTATATTGAAGGAACTCATTGTCTGGTGGGGGATACAAACACAACCGAATGTGGTGAATACTAGGAGAGAAGTAAGTGCAGCATGCTATGCAGATGCACAAAAGAATACTGACCCCAGCCAGGGGTGGGGGTGGAGGGTGGGTAGAGAAGGCTTCCCAAAGGAGGCAACCCTTGAGTAGGAGTTAGGTGTAGGTGATGTTTGTAGAGGTGAGGAGTCGGGGAGAGGGGAGGTATGGAAGAGATGGAATTCCAGACAAAGACAACTACATGAACAAATCTACCAAGTGAGACCCAGCATGGTTTCAGAGGACAATAAGCAGAACAGGGAAGGAGAGTCTGCAGAGTAGGCATGGGCAGATAATGGAGGGCTTTGGAGGCCATGCCTAGTAGTTCAGAGTAGTTCTCAACCTACATGATGGACCATGTTCAGTACATGACTTGCTCCTGTGGGCAGACTCTAATCTAACACAGCCCTCAAATGGGGTAGGGGATATAAGGCAGTGCACAATAAGTAATCACCCTGCTCATAGAAGTCCTTAAGTGATGGCTGCAGCATACACTAGGTAGGCTGCAGGTGACAGGTGCCGCCCAGCACACTGCTGAAAATGCACCCTCATCTCTCCTGCTCAAGAAGGCATATTGCGAGTGAGCAGGAAGCTACCATAGGGATGCCTTGAAAATTCTCTCCCTTCTGTTGATTCTAGTTCTGTCCTCTGGAGCCACACATAACAGCCCTTATAATACAGGATTTGACAACAATTTCTGTGTCCCCCCAAGGCAGCAGCTGAACTGTAAAGCCACTGGAGTTTCACATACATAATGAGAGTTACTTGCTTTACTGGCTGTGTGTTATCTCTCTAACTCAACCTGAGCTCCATGAAGACAAGCCCCATGTCTGTTCATCATTGTGTCCTCCCCCTGAAATCCCCCTACCCTCCCTTCCCCCTTAATGCATAATATTGTGCCTTGCATCTGGTAGGTTGATTATGTACTTTTTAAAAACAACAACAATGGATGAATGATAGCATTCAGGTCACTCAAAACACCTAATGCTGGTAGAGAGGTCTCCCTTGGAAGCTGACCTAGGGGCACCTGCACAATGACTATGGTGACCAGAATACTAGGGAGACAGAAGCCACAGAGCCTTCTTTCTGCCCATGAGAGAGAGCACTCCACTTGGCTGAGCAGGACTGGATGTGTCTAGAGCAGGGACTTAGTCACCATGGACTATTCCTTTCTCTGCCTCCTCCCCACAGATCACTGGGGAGCTCACTCAAGTTTGTCAAAATTAGATTACAAGACCACTCCACAGAGTCTGAGTCTAATTCAGGACAATGACACATGTTTCTGGACAGTATCTATCAGATCTCTGGTTCTCAATAAAGGTTGTTATTTATAGTAATAATAACAATCCCCTGGGTCCATGCTATAATTCCACTCACCATACAGTGGAATGTGGCACGGGGCAGGGTTGACTTGCTTCCCAATTAAGAGAATTCTGCTGTAAAAGAACCCAAAGGGCCTCACTTAAAGGATGCCTTAGACATAATATCATGTCAGTGCAGCTCAGTTCAGAAAGTGTTTATTGAGCTCCTATGCTCTGCCAGACATCAAAGTTGGCTTTATAAAGTAAAGCGCAAGTAAAACCATCATCTCAGAACTCCTTAGTACCTTATTCATTAAAGTGCATTTTTCTGATTTTACCTCACCCCAATAGATTCTCCCTAAAATGGATATATAGGGAGAATTTCATGAGAAAGTGGTCTTGATCCTCAGCTACCTCAGAAATCTTCATCATCCTTGGAGATTCTCAGCTCCATTTTCTAGTTTACCCAGAGTTACACAAAAAAAGAATTTGAATCTAGGTGATAATAATAAAATAAGCTAACACTTATTGAGACCTTTCTATGTGCCAGACATTCTGCAAGTTTCTTGATACCTATTTTCTCATTTGATTCTAACAACAACCTGAGGAAGTAGGGATTATCCCTGTCTCCTTTTTACAGGGCTCACAGATGGTGACTTGAGCAAGATCATACAGCTAGTAAGTGGTGGAGATGGCATGAAACTCAGTTCTTATGTTGTCGGGACAGCAATGCCCCTGCCTTAACGACTGGACTAGACACTGTCTAAATCACCTAAAGGTCCTTTCTTTGAAAATCCTTACCAGTCAAAGGCAGGCCACTTTTACATAAGATGACTGCTGCAGGGACGTTTGAGAGAATTGTTAGGATAGGGAGTTGATTTGTAAGTGGTTGGGCATAATTCTTACACGTAGAATTTACATTATTTTCCTCATTTAAGTTTGGGGTAGCTACCTCAGCCTCAGGGGAAACAACCAGGCACATGCTATGGCTACAGCTACTGAGTCGGCCAGTATGGGCACCTTTCCCAGAATTAGAAGCCGATGGGGGCCTGCAACCCTGAACCTTGATTACCATAGAGGGGAGAGGAAGATTGAGATGAGAGAGAAGAAGAAAGAGACAAATGGGGGAGATAAGTATCACTTCAGTTTTCCTCCTACTGCAGCCAATCGCAGATAATTAACTCCTCTTCCAATTTAATTATTTTATTCTGGCAAGGACAGCGTGGTCCACTCAGAGACACCCTGCTGGCAGACAGTTGTTTTAAAGCCAAGGAGGTGGAAGGGAGCAGGCAGTGGAGAAAGAGAATTATGCTAGGATAAGTAATTTTCTTCTTAAAATGTTGGAAGAAGAAATATTTACAAGGAGTGGATAGGAGGGGATGGCAAATGAAGATATTCAATTACAGTGAAATATTGCGAGGTCTTTATTAATTACCCGGAATGGGTTGATTAATACCTATGCAGTTATTAATGAAAATTATATTCATGAAATGCTTATATTTCTTTATTATTTCTACCATTGTGTCATAGCTACAGTAGAGCTGAAAGGAATCCGAGATCAAACTCAACACCTTAGTTTTATACAGAGTGAAGACTAGGCTCCAGGGAAGTGAGGTAATAGTGATAACAGATACCACTAAGTTGAGTGTTTCCCGTGTGTGAAGCATTTTACAACTATACTTTCTACCCTACATTAACCCTGCTAGGAAAGTAGTATCATCCCATTTTATGGCTGAGAAAACTGAGGCTCAGAGGTTAAGTAACTTGTACAAAGTCACACAAGTAGCAAATGCTGGGTAAGGGACTCGAACATGGTCTGCCTAACTCCAAAGCCTGCCTTCTCTCTGTATCTCTAAAAGGGCAAGAAAATCAAAGAGGCCCTAGGACTGACAGCTGGTGAGAAATCTGTGAGCAGGACTCGTCTCTTAACTCCCTTAAGCATGGCTTTCCCCACTTTCCCATAAGAGGCCCAGGGTTTTTCCTGTTAGCCTCTGGCTTACTGGTTGACCATCCCTTGCATATGCTGTTTCTAGAATTAATGATTATATTGAGGCCCTCAGCCCACAGTGGTCAGGATTCCCAGACTCTTCAGCATCTGCCACCATTTGGCCAGAATTCACATATAGAAAGTTATTTCCTTTTTTAGCCAGTAAGTGCTCTTGGCTGCGGCAGTGTCTACTGCTGGGTTCTCGGCTGGCCAAACAGCAGGCTCTGGTGTTCCATTGTTATTAAATCATAACAAAAGCAATAGAAACAGAATAGTTAGGCGTTGGGACTCACAGTTCCTAAGAAATAGTGAGATTCAAACCCTGCCTCCATCACTCTCTGGTTGTGTGACTGTAGGCAAGTCACTTAACCTCTCAGTTTCCTCCTCATCGGAGCAAAAGGAATGTTGACTCATAGAGATTAAACAACATGTGGATATGTGGAAATGCCTAGAACAGTATCTGGCACTTAGTAGACACTCAATAATGTTAATTCCTTATTTTCTTTTTGACATTTCCAGTAACAACTCCTCTCAAACATGATCCAACTAGGCAACTTGATGCAGAATTTGACAGTGCAGCAGACTGGTTAGAGTGACACAGCAAGGACCCCCACGTGGCGCTGGGTCGGGGAAGGTGACTATCAGAGGTAGGGAAAACACGAGCAATGAAAAAGATATTCATTTAACTGTAAATTAGTTCTTTCACTAGGCATGAAGACCCTCGGGGGCAGGGGTGGAAAGGAAAGGAGGTACAGGGCCCCACTCTGATCAGGCCCCTCTCATTCTGGTAACTGGTCCAAGCTGCCTCTGAACTTTTCTTTAACTCAAGCTTTTGGGCCTCGAGATGGACTCCATAAGTGTCCATATTATAAAATGTGTACTTTGTGTAATTCTTTCCTTCTGAGGAGCTACAGCACTTTTGAATCTGATCACCAATCCAAAGGCATGTCCACAGGGTATGTTTGAAGCTGGCTCGTTTCTACCTGGAAGAGAAATAGTTGGCTATCTACACTGTGATCTGAGGGGAAGGGGCATCCTGACCCCTAACCACATCTGCCGTCTCTTGAGGTTCTATATCATGAAGATACCAGGTTGGATTAAGATTCTAGAAGTCCTCTGTGAACAAGAGCCTCATAGAGAGGTTCTTTCTGGTTCCAGCTGTTTCTTTGTGACTCTAGACAAGACATTCCTCCTCCCTGAACCTCAGTTTGCTCACGTGTAAAACAAAGTGGTTGTGCTGGATGGTTGCTAAAGGCCCTTCTACCTCTAAGTTAGAACATCCGGGGAGTTTGTGACTCTCCCAGTTGTGATAGGATGGCAAGTTAGTAGCAAAGCCAAGAGGCAAATTCAGACTTTCTGACTCCCAACTTAGAGGTCAGCAAATATAGTCCTAGAAAAAAAGTCTGTGCAACTAGAAAAACCAATCAGTACTTTCTCAGAATTACATGTCATGGTGAGCCCACTGTGGAAAGGCCTTTGCACCAATTCGAAGAGACTTGGGCTGAGGACCAGATGACCTGAATTCTACCCTACTGTTCTATTGTTCATTGAGCACCTACTATGTCATAGCCCATTTTAAATACATTATTTTATTTAATCTTCATAAAACCTTACAAGGAAAGTATTTATTAACCTCTTTCTTTGTGAATGTGAGTGGCTTGTTGAAGGCTGAATTTTTCTTGCCCATGATTTGCTAATATTTCAGAAACAATTGATTCACAAAGTGGCATCAAGCTGTCATTTACCAGGAGTCGGCAAATTCTGACTATAGAAAGGAAGTCAGCTTCTTTTCTAGGAGACCTGAAGCTTTCCTGGAAAAATGGGCCTCTCTCCCCTTTGGTCAGCTCAATCCTTGAGCCCACAGTGGGGTAAGTTCACACAGAGAGCTGCTGGAATCCCTGGTGGGTGAAGTCTTCCCTGGGACAGAGGGCAGAGCCTGGGCCTGGGTCTCTGTGGCCCTGAGGACTTGCAGGTCTTCTAGGTCCTGTCCTGATTGATCCACACAGACAGGCTCCCTGTCCTGTTTTAATTGGTTGGGCCCAGAGGTGGGATCAGCGGGTATCCCAGAGGCCAGGCTGCACTGTGATAGCCCTGCTGGCTGCTAGAGCCCAAAACTTCCACTGCATGTGCCCCTCACCAGCCAGAAGAGATGATGGGGAGCAGGTGGGCAAGTGGGTGTCACTACCAGAAAATAGGATTGTAGAGATGTTTAAATGGAAGAAGTGGGGAGGGTGAGGGAGAAACAGAGGCTCAGAAAACACAGCCAAACACCGAAGTCAGAAGAGCCCTAGATGCGAGTGAGCACAACAGAATGTTCTCTCAACTGAACTGGCCCTGACTCACCATTTCACCTCCAACAAGTCACTTCCTTTTACTAGGCCTTGTTCTCCTTAGTTGTCAAAGAAGAGGTTGACTGGCAATCTAAGAGACCTCTTCCAGTTCTAATGGCTTAGGACTTTAGGCCAGTACTAGGAGCAGGGACAGGAGTGAGGCAGCAAGGAGATAAGAACAATAACCAGTTTCAAGAGCCCAGCAAGAACATCTCTGGGGTTCCAAGGCAGTGGCAAAACAGGGCAGCACGATTGTGTTACTGCCATGGCTCTATGAACATCATGTGTCTGGGTGAGGGGATGCCCAGAGGATGCCAGTTTGGAAGCCAGGGAACACACCTCCCACCATTCTCTGCTATTCCTGTGGTCTCACTGGGACTGCTCCTTGGCAGCTGCTGAGTGAGGAAAACACTTAGAAGGACAGCCTGGGGAGCAGGCTCCAAACAGCTCTGCCGCCCTGGGGAACCTGGCTGGAAGGTGGAAAATTCAGAGTTGTCCCTAGACAGCAGTGAATCAGGGTCTGGGCTGGCTGTGACTCTGGGGGCAGTGGGTGGAAGAGATGGAGGCCACTTGGCCTGCTGATATGAAAGTCAGGCTGGGATGCCTCTAAATACCAGCTTGTGTGCCGAGCCATGAGCTCACCCCACCAGGCAAATGGCCTTGGTCTCGTCTCTGTTCAGTTTTGCTGAATGTCTCCCAGGTCTCCTGGCTCCCTGTCCAGGGCTCCTTGTGCTCCCCTTCCTTCCCTCAGTGCCAGAGCCTTTTTCAGGAAACAGCCCAGTGAGATGCTGAGGAGTAAGAACCAGGAGTCCCCCCCATTATGGTGGGATACAGGGAGGTGGAACAAAAGTACAGTAAGGATGTAAAATCCTCACATCAAGCTGCCCTTTTTCAGTGATTTGAGGTGCCATGAGCCTAAGGAATCATAGCCTTGTGCAATGTTACTGCTGAGTGGAACCAAAAGAATCTTTCTACTTCAAACCCCTCATTTTAGAGATGAGGAAACTGAGGCCCAGAAGGGGGAAGTGTCCAGTCCAAGGTCACACAGCCACTCAGTGCACCAGAACCCAGGTCACTTGGCTCCTGAGCCCAGGGTCTTTCACCACATTCTCAGAAGAGAGGTCAAGGAGCTGACAGAAACCTTTCTGCCCTGCGGCCCTCTACCTTACCCTGCCCAGGAGGAAAGGAGACCTTCAGTGGGTGCCTCTCCCAGGCTTCCTCTCTGGGTCTCACCAGCCTCTTTCCTCTGACGGTGAGTGGCAGGCCTGATTGCTCACAATGCACAGCAGGGACATGATCCTCTGCAGGAAACTAAGCAGGGAATATTTTTAAACCATCCAACATGCCTTAGGGGGAAAAAAATTAAAACACTCCCCTAGATGCTGTGGAAAGCATTTCAAAAAAGATTCCAAGCCTAGAAGAAAGATCATAAAACAGTGATGGTTTTTGTTTTTAAAGGGCCAATCCCATCTTAATAAAAGTGCTTGGAAAGGGACTGGTGACCTGCTTGTAAGATGCCCCTGGAGCACTACAACTCCACAAGAAGTAAACTAATTCCAAGGGCCTCCACTCACATTCCTACAGCTCCTTACAAATCAAGTAAGTAATTTATCTGCTGCTTCAGAAACCATCCTCCTTAATATATCCAAACCTCAGCATCACAGGGAATAGTGAGAAGGGTAGGAAATAAACCCACAGATACAGAAAAAGAGCTTTGTTGTTATCCAGCCTGGAATTCAAGGCTGTCTCTTCTGGCTACTTCCCATCAACTGATAGTTTTCTCGCTTAAAATTCAAGTCTACCCTTACCTTCTTCTCTTCCTCCTCTCTGGAATTTCCGTTGGCTTCTTCCTTCTCTGGCCTTCTCGTCTCTGACTGCCCACTGTTCCTTGCTCTTGAGCCTGTCAGTTGTTCCTCTTCCACCCTCTTTTTAATCGGTATCTGTCGCCCTCCCTCCTCCCACTTCTTCCTACTCTCTCTCTCCACCCCCTTCCCCCTCTGGATCCCTCCCTCCCCTCTCTCTTTTGCACTCTTAGAATCTTTGCTCCTCATTTGAAAAGTTTTCTTCCCTCCACCTCCTTGCAGCCTCTCCTTACTGTGTTCTCCTCAGGAGACAGAGCCCTCCTCCTCCCCCCTGCCCTCCCACTGTCATTGTCACCACAGTCCTTGCTGCTGGCCCTCTCCCTTGGGCTGGTGGGGCACCGCCTCCTTAGCTCTTGGCCTGCCCAGCCCTGTGCTGAGCCTCCTCAGGCTCCTCAGGCCACGGCTTTCCTGGAACATCAGCGGGAAAACCGGCACTACCCAAGAGATCCCTCCTCCCAGCCTTTTCCTGTCTTCAGAGAAAAAGGTGCTCATTCATGGAACAGATCTTTTGGGGACCTCTAGAATGCCCACATCAGTGAGCTGAGCACCAGCTAGCACAGGAAACATGGTCTCACAAATCACAACACCAGCACCCAGAATAGACACTTTTCAGGGCTAACCTGAAAGCTCCAAAGGATGGGGAGAGGGCATCCCCACCACCAGGGCTGTCTTCTTCTCTCTTCCTCCTCTAACTAGAAGAGAGCACCTTCTATGTACCAGGCACTCTGCTAGGGGCAAGACAGATAAAGATATAGATATAGATAGATAGAGATAGAGACAGAGACAGAGGTAGAGATGGAGATAGAGATAGATAAATAGATATCGATCTATACGTATTCTATTTTTATTTCACTTAATCATTCCAATTTCCACTTCTTCAAGGTAGACATTTCTACATTTCACATTTGAGGAAACTGAGATTCACAGAAATCAAGGAACATGATCATGGTGACCCAGTGAGCAAATGGTAAATTCTGGATTAGAAGTTTTAGCTGATGCCAAATTCACCTCTTTGCTCTTTCCACAAAAGCATACAGGTCTCCTAGCTGGAATTGAGCCGATGGAAGTAAGCTTGTCTCTTATTAGATCACATGTCACAAGTGAGCAAATTCAGAAACTGTGAGGCATCTCTCCCCTCCAGCTCCCCTCATTATCAACTCTGTTCCTCAATTCCTCAACTTAAGCACTCAGCCATGAATCCAGTTGGAATGTGATAAATATCAATGATAGAAGTTACAATGAGTGGACTGAAACCAGATAAACCAATGACCAAGAACCCACAGATTATGAGAGCTAGAAGAAAACCCCAGAGATCATCTGGAACAGCCAGGGAAACTGAGGCCCAGAGAGTCAAGGCCACTTGTCAGTGTCGCAGATAGTAAAGTAGGTGGCAGAGGCAGGACCAGACCCAGATCCATTGCTTTGCTCCACATTATCACTTTCACATGTAGCACCATTCACAAACATTCCAACATTTTGCAAAACTGTTTCTTTAGTGGGCGATATTTTTCATGGGTGAATAAGCTTAGGATCAGCAAGAGGGGAAAGAATAGGGGACCAAATTTCCTGTGTCTAGGGAGGCAGCAGCCCTGTTGAAAATAAACCCAGGATTCTTGATTCCTTAGCCAGAGTTTCCCTCTTTTTCCTGTGTAGCATCAGAGCAGATTCTGGGGCAGCCTGCCTGGTTTTGAATCCTGGCTCCACCACTTACTAGCTGTGTAACATTGGACAAGCTAACTTCACCTCTGTGCATCTCAGTTTCCTCAACTGTAAATTGGGGCTAATAATAACTACCTCCTAGGGTTGTCATAAGGACTAACAGGTATATGTAAAGCACTTAGAACCATGTCTGGTATATGGTAAATGCTATGGATATGACTGCAAAATACAATACAATACAATACCCATCTCTTCCTGCCTGTACTTACCATGGCTGGACCAGACTCCTGGGAAAGAATTCAGCATGTGAACCACAGATAGCCCTGGTGATACCCAGTTTGTTTTCCAAAGCAGAGATTGTCCCTATATGATTGCTTTGTCCTTACATCCTAGCCACTCTACAAAAGCTGGGAGCTCCTGGAAATATCTTATCTCCAGCCAGGAGATGGCCAGTTAAAGAACTCATAAGTCTCAGTTGAAGGATAATCTGAGAGTGGGGAAGGTTTAGTGGAGTGTTAATTCCTAGATCATTGGCTGCCAAAGAACCATCCAGCTGGGGGCAAGGCTGGGGATGAAGGGACAATGCCATTTTCCTCTGAATGCCCAGAAGGGAAGAATTGCCGAGATGCCAGCACACCCATGATCCTAGAGAGAGCACAGGCACGGAAGGTAAATACTCCCACCCTG